CCGGCCCCGCGGGCCCCCCGGTGGGGCAGCCGTGGGAGGTGCAGGCGTCGCGGGCGGGGCAGGCGGGGTGGGCCTTCGCGTGAGCTATGTTTACATGACACAGTGTGCCAAAGTGACTTACTGTGGTTACATTATTTTTTAGTCATCGGGACTCTCCCGTCCTCCCACTCCTGTTTTTAAAACTGCGGATTCTTTCCTCAGAGCCTCGAGCAAAGCGTGGCAAGTGAGTTGTCTTCCCAGCTGGTCTTTCTTATGTCGTCATAAAAGCTACAATGATGGTATCTGTGAGTATGTTTTGCAAATTCAAAATATAGTTTGGTAATTTTTTTTCCAGTTGATTTTTAAAACGAACTGCTGTACAGAGCTTGTACTTGTCCACTTTATAGATGGAAACCATCCTTGAAAATTGTTTAACTTAAATAAAGAGAAGATACTTTATAGATACCGCCAGCGGCTGTGGTCTTAGTCCTTCTAGGGCAGCTGTGATGGACGGGGACTGTGGCGACGGTCTGTCTCTGGAGCCCGCTCTGTCCCTGCTTCGCCTCGTCATGTGGCTCTTACCCGCGGTAACACCGGTCTCCTCTGTGGGAGTTCCGGAGTGCCAGGACCCAGCGAGTCCTTAAACACATTCGATTGTCACAGCCGCTGTGGACACTGATGACCGAAGTGGCCAGTGTGCTAAAGATCACTTGAGTCCCGAACCGGGGTCAGCTCGGGCTGCCCAGAGGCAGACCTTATGATCCAAACCAGGGGTCATATAGTTTTATGAACTTCCAAGCGTTTAAAGTCCATAATCAGGCTTGCCGTCCGCTCCCCCCAGGCCTCTCAGGCCCCTCAGATACCGACAGTTTAGCAGTTTGGAGTGAAATGGGGCAGGGTGGAAAGTACTGAAAGAACTGGCCTGGGTGAGTGTTGGAATCTTCTGGAGACCTCATGTCTGCATTCTGTATTTGAGACACGGAAAAGTTGGCTCTGCTGCCGTCCGAGACAGAAGCAGCTCTTAGCACAGTTGTGTAATACCCACCAGAGCCCGCAGGGACCCTGTGTGAGGGCGTGTGGGGTTGTGCGTGTGTCTTGCTTTGGCACCGGGGTGGGGTTTCTTCACTCAGTAACTATTTCTAGAGAAAATATGTTGCACCAATGGATCCCGAAGAAGAGAGGGCAGGGCACGTGTTCCGGCAAAGGGGAGGACCGGTGAAGCTCGCAGCTCACAGCGCACTGGGCCACAGGTCACCACCGAACGTGGGGTCTGGGCCCAGAGAGAAACGAGCACAGCGTCTAGACAGGCACAGCCCCAGAGGCCAGGGTCCTGGGCCGCAGCGAAGAGCCCCACTGGAGGAAGTCCTGGCGGGGTGGGGGGCGGGCTGTGGGGAGGGGGCCAACACACAGCCCTCCCCAGAGTACAGCGACCCAGCGCTGCTGTAGGACTTCACGTTTCAAGCTGCTCAGCAGAAAGGTAAAGGAAGGTCCCTTCCAGATGTCTGCCGTAGTTCTCGGCAGTTCCCTAAGGATGCACGCGCCTGGATGGTTCCGTGCGCTCGTGTGCCTGCGGAAAGTGTGCGTCACGTTTGTGAAAGCCTTGTGTCTCTAGGGTCCCAAAGAGCATTCGCTCGGCGGTTCCTGCCTGGGCTCGGCCCAACAGGGGTGAAGGGACAGGGCACTGCAGGGAGGATCACTGTGGTCCTGCCAGGCAGCACCCACGGGAGTCAGGCTCCGCGGCAGGCTCTGGGTGCTACTGTTCTGAGCATCGCGGAGCAGAATGGAGGCGGAGTCTCGGGACTGGTCTCCTGACGGTCACATAAAGAACGTCGTGTGGCGTTGGGGGTCACCATGAGGACTAGGGCACACACCTGCCGAAGCGCATCCTAGAAATGAACCGTCCCGGTTGCTCTGGAGATGGGAGGCACTGGGGTGCAGGAGACACTGTCCCAGATTACACGAGTCCACGGCGACAGGATCGAACACTGAGTCCATGGGCGACAGGATCGAACACTGAGTCCACGGGCAACAGGATCCCGGTGTGCAGGAGACGCTGTCCCAGATTACACCGAGTCCACGGCGACAGGATCCTGGCGTGCAGGAGACGCTGTCCCAGATAACACCGAGTCCACGGGCCACAGGATTCCAGGTAGATCCTAAGGTCTGAGGTTCTTGTAAACAAACTGCTTTCTGCCTGATCCCCCCAACCCACCCATCCAACATGGCGGAAGGCCTTGGACGTCAGACACACAGGGACAGCAGAGCGCGCCCCTGCACCTCCCTCCACACCAACCCTACTGTGCAGCCTCCTCAGTCCCTTGCCCGGTGCTGCTGGGTCCTGGAACCCAGTTTGGGGAGCTGAGGCGCGGTCACCTAACATCCCCCACAGCAGGAAAATGGGTTCTCCCAGCAGAGGGCGGGAGAGGGACGGCCTGGCACACTGGCCCTTGTGGAAAGGTTTTGGCAGTGGGTAAATAGGCTGTGTGGCCCCAGGATTCCTGCACCCCTAAGAACTGGCCCCGCCACCCTCTGCGTCCTGGACTTGACGTCTGTGGCAGCTCAGGGCCTCTGCTCAGGTTTTCAAGTGCCTAAAACACATCGTGCAGATGGCAGAGACTGGGATTTCAAAACATTGTGTGACTTGACTCAGCGTTCAGGAGCAAGGCCGCCTCCTAGCGGGCGCCGGGTTTCAGGATGGTCATGAGCATAAACAGTGCTTTCAGACCCGCAGTGTTAATGCGATGAAAGTGCCTGACTTCTAACTCGTGTCCAGGTTCCCCGCTTCATGACTGCTCATACCAGAGGGGAATGCTGATTGCAGTTGGGGGTTGGTGACAGTAAAGACATCCTTCTCCCGTCTAAGCATCTGGACGCCTAAGTTCTAAGCTCCCCCCGCCTGTGTGGTCTCACCATGTCTAAGCTTCAGGGACGTGGGCACCCAGCTGCCATGGCTAAGGAGAAAAAGAGTGACACAGGGAGGAGGACAGGGACACACAGGAGCTGCCAGGGACCTGGGCCTGGGCTCTGACCTTGGGTCACCCAGAGGACGATGCTCGCAGTCAGCCACCTCCCTCGCAGTTACAGGAAGTGCTGGCTGTGGGTGCTCCGGGCAGGTGGGCGAGGCTGAGCCGAGCAGGGGCTGCGGGGAAAATTGTCCTCTGAATCCGTGACACGCGGGCAGAGGGGTCCGCCGCCTGCTGGATGAGCTCACACAGCCTGCACATGTCAGCCCGAGGCCCCTGGAGGTGCAGGAGCAGCCTTAGGGAGGCAGGTGGTTGGTGCTGCTAGCAGGGAAGGCAGGAAGGCCGTTCCGCCAGGCAGGAGGGGAGCCAGAGGCTGGGGCTGAGGGAGGGGAAGCCCCAGGAGTCTCCGTGGGGCTCCAGCCTAGCCAGGCCCTGCTCCTGAGCACCTGTGTCTCCCCGAGAGGACCAGGGGGCCTCTTCTGTGAAGTGAGGACCTTGCACTCACCTGCAGGAGTGCAGTGGAGACCAGAGGTGAAGGTGAGGAGTGCCTCCTGTCCAGCCACCCAGGCTGGTGCCCCCCAGCCCCTCCTGCCTTCCGGGCCAACCGTGCAGAGGGAAGGCCCCAGCGGGGTGCCCTCCTCACGGCACCAGCCACAAAACAATGCAAAGCCGCAGACCTACCACACTCATCCAGGTGCATGGCTCTTCAGCACTCGCAGGTAAGTGACTGAGCTGTTTTATTGGCCAGACTGCATCCCCCAAAATCATAATGAAGTCCTAACCCACAGCACCCCAGAATGTGACCGGGCTCAGCAGGCCGGTCCTAATCTCGTTTCACGGGGTCCTTATAAGAAGAGATTAGGACACAGGCTCTCACAGAGGGGTGGCCAAAGTGAGGACCTGGAGGAGGTGGCATCTGCGAGTCCAGGGCAGGCCTCCAGCACCAGCCGTGCCCACACCAGGATCTGGGACTCTGTCTGGGCCCTGGGTTCTGGCTGCCCAAGCAGCCTAAGGTCAGAGCCATCGTGAGTCCCTGATGCCTGTGTGCAGCCCAGCTCCCCCTCCTGCCGGCTCTAAGCCAACATCCCTGTGAGCGTGCCGTGGGGTCGAACTTTGCCACAGTGCACCTGTATGAGCGTGTCGCGTTGAGCTTTGCCGCAGTGCACCTGCGCGGGCGTGTCATGGCGTCGGGCTTTGCCACTGTGCACCTGTATGAGCGTGTCGCGTTGAGCTTTGCCGCAGTGCACCTGTATGAGCGTGTCGTGTTGAGCTTTGCC